ATGAAGATTGGTATAATTTGTACAAAGATAAGCTAAATTTTTTTAAAAAATAAAATAGAATAATAATTAAAAAAAGATTAAGATGATACAAATTTAATTTATTAATTTTCATAATATAAAACTTTTTAAATAGATTTGGTAAGATAATTTTTTTAATTTTATTAGTTATTAAAATATAAATATTTTTTATAAAATTTTAAAATTTGACCTAGTATAGTCAATAATTTACTTTTTATTATATTTATAGTAAGTTATGTTTACATATTCTGTGTTTTTGAGAATATAGATTATTAAGATTATAATCTTTAGAAGATGGAGTATAATGATCAATTTGCGAAGTTTAAAATATAGTACGTATTTAACTATTAAAACTATTAAATTTTTTTCTAATTCTATAATTAAGAATTCTTAAACCATAATAAAATCTTTGTAAGTTAATTCTCTAAATTTAGTTCTAGTTTTGATAGTTCTACAAAAGCATTTCTATAAATATATTTGTTATTTTCTAAAATAATTTTGATAAAACATAAGACTATAAAAATCAAAGTCATTTTTTATAGAATAAAAGAAATAATAGTGATGAAATTTTTTTACAAACACAATAGTATTACATATCTATTTATTTTATATATTTTTTTATTTTTTTTTTAAAGTGATATAATTTTTTGAAACTGGTTTTTTTTAGTTTAATAATAATAAATGAGTTTATAGATTTTTTTTATTATCATTTTTAGTTTGTAATTTTTAATAGTTTTTTCTTTTAAGTTTTTTTTTGAGCTAAATTAGATGTTGAAGAATTGGCTACTTGTAAATGAAATAAATTAAAAACATCATTGTTACATAATCTAAACAAGTTAAAATGTGTTAATTCAAAAGAAAAGTGTACCAAAGGTTGTTATTACCCACAGTATATTCAGATCTTTGTAAAAAAATCCAATTAGTAATTAGTATATATATTCCTACTTATAGTTTGATTTTATTGTTTCGCATATTTTTATTGGAGTTTCATCGAGGTTTCACATTTCACCAGGGTTTCAATGTTTCATCAGGGTTTTGTCTTTCATATTTTTTGGGTTTAGGTGTAGAAAGTTATGCTTCATATATTACAAGAAAAGGAAATCTATTTTCAAATGTATTATCGGTATTAAATTAAAGAATTATCCTTATGAAACAAATTTTTCTCTTTATTAATAATAAAGTTTTCATTAAAAGGATTATTTTAGTCAAAAAAATTTTCTTTGAAAAAGCTATTAACTGATGGTGTAAAATCCTCGTCAGAACTAATATTATTTGAAGGTATCATCATTTTATTGATGGGTAATCTACAATATTGGGCTTCGGGCTTTTAATTTATTATATGTTATATATATTTGTATACTAAGTACCCAAGCCATGGCGAAAAAAAGTTACTGTCACGTGATATTTTCGGGATCTAGCCAATTAGATAACAAGATCAGGTGTAACGTAAAAATTGCGTTCTTTTTTGTTTTTTTTGAAAAATTGTAAATAACTCAAAATTTCACTTATCAAATCGCCTTCTGCGTACTAACAAAAAAAATTTCTTGCTAAATTTTGGTATATAACCTGCTATATTCTCAACCTAAACCTAACTCTAATAATAAGATTTATTACTTTAATTTATATACTTATTCGATTGTTTTGATTTCGCTGATTGGCCTGAAGTCATGTGACAGTAACATTTTTTCGCCATGACTAGGGTTCTATCGCTATTGTATACTACGTATACGCAACATGTTACTACGCAATTGTGACCTCGTCAGATTTCAGCTGACGCACGTCAGATGACTACCAGATGACCAGCATTAAATGATATGCAATAATTGGCCTAAATTACACTATGATTTTCACTCTAACCCTAATCCTAACTCAGGCCGGGTGTCATCTGACGCAAGGATGCAACTACTTTGCTAAACCATACACCACTACTATTCGTATTACTCCCCATGTATACCGGTGAATACTAAATAAATTCAAAATAATACATCGTAACTACAATTCAGTAAATAAAATTCTATAGACATAAGTTATACGTACGTACGTACCGGTACGTAGCGAATTGGTATTACTGTATTTGATCCATTCCAATTTGTATTAATTAATTTCACAGCAAATTCCCAACCTTTATCGATGCATGCATAGTGATACTTCTTTGGCCATATTATGAATTTCTTCTACAGATATATAAGGCACTTCAGGTCATAATCGTATAGGTACGTACTTTAATGAATATAAAATAAAATAAAAATTTTGTTGCAAAATGAAACAAGCATACCTAAAAGCAGTACATGCACACGATTATGTATGCAGAGAAAGAATGGGAAATTGGAATTGAATATAAATGTTTCTTGAACTTGTCAACCTAACATTATTACTGAATATTTTCATCAGGTAGGTTTATCTGAAGAAAATGATTAACCGATGAATGCGTCTCAATATCAACGTGCTTGCAATGCAAATGTTCTCGAGTAACAGCAGAATGGGAAATATGTTCCTGGAACTTGTCAATCTACATATTCTTCATCAGACAATTTTTCTAGATATACACTTCGTGCTCCGTCTCACAAATAGATTATGCATAAGTTTCGTAAGGTCGATTATCCTGTATCGGTATGTGCGTACGACATACGACGAATGACAGTATAATGACTCAAAAATTTTGTAACCTAATCGTTATTTAGTTGACGAATTTGACAAAAAAAATATTATCGTTATTCACGAAAAATTAATTATATCGCATAATTTTGGTACTGTACCATTAGATTCATCATAAGATGAATCTAATGGTACCATTCCGATCAATAATTCACGATATAATTAATTTTTTGTAATATTTTTTTTTTGTCAAATTTGTCTCTTTTCTCAGCATCAAGCCTAGTTGGTCTAGCATATGTCGATATCTGATACGTATACAAGTTGTAGTAAATTAACTTTTTGGATTTTTAATAATCACAACAATGATCAATATCGATATTGCATTAATCCAAGAAAATCCTTAACGTTAATAATTTATTGGCTTAAGCGTAAATATTAGCCAATCATTAATGTTAAATATTCTTAACAAATACTGTTATTAAGCACTAAAAATAGTTGTAATCAATGGTTTTAATTTTGGCACAAAAAAAAAAAGAAGTTTTATCTTATATTGTAAATTCTTTGAATACCAAAAATAAGTGTTAACTCAAACAATTACAATTTAATTTTGATTGTAACAAAAATTCCCAAAAAATAATATTGTCCTTCTAGAGACAAAATCCAAATGTTTAGATAATCAATATTAACGTTTAAAGTTAGACCTTCCTACTTAATAACATCACCTAACATATACGTATAAATTTATGTATACCACACTGCATCAATATCGATTGTAAAAGTCAAATATATGTGTGCGTAAGTTTTACTTACATATGTATATCGTTTGATATGATCGGGATTTTTCGAATTGTTGAAGTTCTAAATTCGGAAGACAATCAATGAATTTCATGAGTCACATGCTATGTAACGGTAATGATTGTGGATTCCTGTCATTGTTAGATGAATTTCGGGATTAGTGAACCTACAAAGAAAAATCTGAGTCGTTATCACGTGAGTAGTGCCGAGGCATTATAAGTATGATTTTTTATTCGCCTCTCTCATGTAATTATCTCTGCAACTGAAGAGCGTTACATATTATAGATATTGCAGTTAAATATCACGTTCTTGCTTAAAAATGTATCATAATTTAGACTTTTAAAAAAGATCGTCACAATAGAATAATACCTGTGTCCACATTTGTATATACCACGAGTAGAATATATATATTTAGTCAGAACCAAAGCAAAAATCTGTCGCTTTCTCGAAAAAGTACTTTGTGTGCCTTCTTTTTATTTTTTGATTATATCAATCAGTTATTCTAGTTATTCTCGAAAATCACAATTTTTTTACCAGTTACTCTCAAAATTTTTCTTTTACATATAACGTTTTTTTTTTTTTTTGAGAAAGAAAAATGAAAAGAAAAACTTCGTTTTTCATTTTTCCTGTTAGTTCTAGCAAATTTTTACATTTGTCAACAATTCCTTCATCTAATCAGAAAACAATCAAGATTACTGACCTCCCACTTGAAATTTTCATTGAAATATGTAATCATCTTACGCCTATGGCTCTTTTCTCAATGATGTGTGTTTGCAAACAATTTCATTACTGGCTAAATTCTACCACATCATATATTACTCGTGAAATCTGGCGCGTTTCAAGATTAAAGTTTCTTGAATATTTACAACTTGCCCCACCTAGATCTATGGATGAAATTTCGTATATTAAGTTGGCTATGTTACAAAAAGGTTGTCAATTTTGCTCGAGTAAACGAGAAACTCCTAAAGTTTTCTGGGCATTTCGTGTTAGAAGTTGTAGGAAATGTCTGGAGCAGAGAATTATATTGTAAGAAATATTTCATTATAATTTTTTATTACCATACCATAATTATTTTAATTAATAATAATTTTTACTTTTTGTAAATAGTGATGAGACTCCATCATGGGCAAGAAATCCTATTGATGTCGCTTTAGTATTACCTCACGAGTATATTGTTCCATATGGTCAGATATTTAAAGTTCGTGCCTATTTGGCCAGTGATGTAAGGGCTATACATCGAGAATGTATTTCCGTATCTTTAGATAATATAATAGATTGGATCAGATGCAAACAACAATTGGCAACTGAGATTATAAATGATGCTGAAATACGTGAGAAAGTTGACGAAGAAATTTTAATATCAAAAATCAAAGAAAATCGAAGAATATTTGATACTACAATTTCAACTTTGTTAAATACAAAGAATGAATATGGTCATCAAAAATATTTAGAAAAATATATTTTGATGTTACCATCTTACAAAAAGGCCAAAGATGGATTATCGAAACCTTTCATGACAAATCCTTGGTCGAATTTATTGGACAATATGAAATGTGAATATTTCAAGTTAATGAAACTACGTCGTCGTCGTCAGATCATTAGCACACTTCTATCACTTATAACATCTCATGATACTCTTTCTTCTAAAATTTCTTTATCTGATCCAATTGTCGATTGTATTCATTGGTGTCCTTCTTTTATAAATCCTCCTTATGTCAATGATGATCCTTTTATTCCATGGTCAAAGGAATTTTTGGTTGAAACCTTGATTCAACAATTAAGGAAAGAAGCAAGATTATTACTAAGGAACAAAAATTTTTTACGCCCTGGTCCATTCACAAGTGTACATGGTGCAAAAAATCTCTTCTCTTGTTTGTACTTGGATGAAAAATCTTATAAATGCAAACTTTGTTGGAGTGATTTCACTACCTCATATACCTATAAGAAAATTTACATTCATCTGATAAGTTGTCGATGGAGACGTTCGATTGAGAATATTGATGAAGAAAAAATGATTGAGGTGGACAGATCTGTGGTTCATAAGTATATTCCACAATGGTTTAAATATTTTAAAACAGAATAACGCACATTTGAAGATTCAATTAACCTATTTCAAAAAGTTTGTTAAATTAATTAGTTTTGTCGATTTTTTAGTACTGTGATGGCATTAGTGTATGATAACATTTATTGTACGCTTAATGAAAATGAAAGTGAAAGATTTGTTTTGATACGATTAATTCGATTCTGGTTTGCTTTCGCATTGCATGTAAAAAATGTAAAAATCTATTGTACCATATACTTTTATGGTAAAATAAAAAAAAAAATATATAAAATAACAATAATAAATAGTATAACAATTCATGTGAAATTGGTACCAATATTAATTCATATCCCCGAATATTTAATAAAGTATACCCGGACCAAGGAATGCTTTGCCAAATTTGATATTTGATACGCAGAAAATCTATTTCAAAAAAAGTTAAATATATTTCAAAAAAGATAAAATGAATATACATTTTAATTTTAGAACTATCATTATACAGTAGTTATAGGACTATTGTTATTACACTATGGAATGATTCTTGTAGCGATTATTTGAATCATTAAAACTATCATTATTACAGCAATTATTGAATTATCAGAACTATCGTTACTACAGTAATATATATATGAACTATCTTTATCACAGTAATTATTGAATTATTAATGTATCGTTATATCATTCAAAATTTATGTTCGTACATACTAATATTTCTTGGTGTGCATCTTTGATAATTAACATCAAAAATTTTTCTAGCTTTCCTTAACAATCTATGACTTAACCTATTTTTAGTATGTAAAACCAATTTTTTTATGACATCTTTCAAGCATTTGATAATGACTTCTAAATGATCATTACCGAAATTTTTTGAATCAACAATTTCAAAACTATCTAATTTCTCGAACTTACATTCATTTAAAAATATTTCAAGATAACGAGAATTAAATAGCCACATTGATCCTTCGAATCTTAAGCTTCTTAAATTTGCTAATTGTAAATTTTTCATTTTTCCTAATTCTTTCAATACTCTATTAACTTCTTGACCTGATCTTTGCATGGACCCAGCTAGAGTTATCGTTTCAAGTTTGTTGCAAGAAAATATTGATATAAGTTGAGGTACTTCATCAGGATTCAAATATAATTTGAGATGTTTTAATTCAGGATATAGTGTTGGAATGCAACTAATTATTTTGCGAGAACCTGGGATAGAATTTCGAAATCCATTTCGACAGTTTTGTCTTCCAAGATTAAGAGTTTCTAAATTTGGATAAGAAATTTTTAAGAATGCTTCCAACATCTCATTTGTTATATATGATCCATTGAAATTGAGCTCAGTAAGATATGGAAACCTTAGGTTGGTCAATATTGATGGAATTATTTCATCGGTTTCATCTTTAAACTTTGAAGAAATAAATTCAAGTCGTTGAAGATTTTTCAAAGATATTAAATAACTTAATATCTCATATCCAAAAAATTTAACGTTTACAAAACTTAAAGATTGTAAAGAATTAATTTGAGTCTTTAATGCTACCATTATTGTAGATAGTCCTTCAGAACATACATGTAATCTCAGGTTATTTAATCCTTTTTGTGACTCGATTAATGTAGCCAAACAGTAAGCTTCATTTTCAACCTTTTGTTGTTCGTAAATTCTTACCGCATCTCCACCGAATAAATCACGTTGATAACTAATAGTTATTGCCATGAATTTAATATTATGAGAAAATTGTGATAAAGAGAGTAATAAACTGGCTTTCCGACGTTTTGTTGTACATATTAACTCTGTGAGTTGATGTAAACGTGGTACCACGACGGAATAATAATTTAAAGATTCGTAATCTCCTGTAGGTAAGTTACAATAATCTGAACGGAGTGGCTTTTCTTTTTTAAGTGATGAACAAAAATATTCATTCGGCCTTCGAGTATAAAGGTGTCGTTGTTCAATCGATATTTGTACTAGTTTTGGACATTGTGTCATAAAAGTTTTGATAAGATTATGAACCAATAAATCCCGACATGAATTGTCGTAAAAATATTCGTTATATCTCAAAGAAATTTCTTTTTTAAATGTGGAATTTGCTAAAAATCTAATGAATATTGTGTAGTCTATTGAATCTCGGTCAACCAAAGTATTCCGGTGAATTCTTTTTTTTACAAATTCTATTATATTTTTTTTTCTATATCTTGTTACATTATATGATGTTTTCATCCAATCTTCGATTGAGGTATATAATTCGTTCAAGTCAATATTCTGCAAATATTCTATATAATTGAGCAGTGGCGGTGGCGGAAGTTCTGACGTAGGTTCTTCCTTAAGAAATTCATCTTTGTATTGATGCATAAGACAAGCAAGATAAACTAACAATAAATTTGCAGATTGATATCTTCGTTTTTCCGATGAACAGTTACATTTTTTTTTCTTGCATGTGTATAAGAGTTTGAAAGGTTGACTCCATATTATACGAGCAGCCTCTTGAAACCAAAAACGACATACAAAAAGACACGAATGTAAAGTTCTTTTGTCATTTCTAAGGTAAGAAAGAATTGGAAAAAGACATTCACGAGGAAGAGATGGTAACGATGAGTTAAACCGCTTGTTTCGGTTAAAAGAAATGAATTCGAACATTGTATTAAAATAATTTGCTCCCGAAATAATTGAAAGAATTTATAGTTTTTTTTTTTTTTTTGTTGTATATAAACCATTATTAATTTCATATGATTTGGAGATCAAACAAAGATTAATTTGTAAATCGCGGTTAGCGTTAGGTAATAGTTGTAATAGTTGTAAGCTGTATCGTTATCTATTATCATTACGGCATGAGTGTCCCACTCGGAATTTTAAGATATGATCTACGGGACATCTGGCTATTTGTTTATAAAGGTAATAGTAATATTCGGACTTTACCTATATATAAACTATCCTTTTAAACGATTCTTACAAAGAAATTAAAACATATCAATATGGTATGGATAACCAGAATTGCAGACCCGTATGGTACAAGTCGCTCTTGTTGTCTAAACCAGTCTATATAATATTCTCTCGGTATATAGCGAATTTACTAGTAAAATTCTCGATTTAAAAAATTTTTAATAGTAGCCCTGATTGTTTCTCTATAACGAGAATGATTGTATAGATGAGCAAATCCGTATAGTACAGGCCGATTTTTAATAACGATACTATATTAATCAGTTATAATATCAGTATATACAACACCGAATCAGTATATACAATACCGAATCAGTATAGTATATAGTTTTTAGAAAGCGGCCTGTGCTGACATCACGCGGATGACGATAATTTACTATATATTATTAATATATAGGGGAGTCAATAGACAATAGAAATGGGATAAATCATTTTTAGTAACTTTTTTAAAATTTTAAATCAAAATATCTCAACAAATATCTAACCAAATTTAATAAATTTTTAATTCTACAACAATATATATAGAATTAAAATAAAAAAAAAATTTTTTAAATATTTTAGCTTAAAGTTAAGAAAACTTTTATTTAAAAAAAATTTGATCTATTTCTATTGACTTCCCCATATATCTGCAACCAATAATATACCCTAGGTAAGATGGGTGTCGGGGGAATGAGATCCACCCGTACTATCTGCTATACGGATCTTTATCTATACCACGCGACTCGGATCTGCGTAATTTAATTTAGCAAACAATCTGCAGTAGTTCCTAACCTTAATATTGCATGTTTTTTTAAATTCGTATCGTACATTCCTATGCTAAATCACACCAGAGTACATTCTCATGATCACATGTCAGAATAGTTCCATCACATCCTTTCTATTTTTCACTTCTTTTAACATCCCTTTAACACTGACAGGTTTATCAAGTGTATCGACAAAAATCACAATAAAACCTTTTTATTTATTCAATTTTGATAATTCGATGAGTTTTACAAGAATAATAGAATTCAAAAATAGGCGACTAATCAGGAAATTTACAAACCTCAAAAAGGAAGTGAAGATAAGTTAGGGCGTTTCGTTCTCAACGTTTTTCATTATGTTTTTGCTGTTTTTTTCCTCTTGCGTATGTGTGGGATTCTACATCTGGATCATTGTGGACGGGCCTGGGCCGTTCATTACATACAGTATAGATTCTGGTACTCTGCAGCGTCACATCAAAGCTTAAAACATATATGAATTTAAGAATGTTAATGTGCGTATTTTATATTGTTAATCATGTTCTTATTGTTAATCTTTAAGATGCGAAAATTTTTTAATGTGCGCACTGCCCTTTCGCACATTACTGGTCTGGATGATCTGGATAAACACTATGAATAAAATGTATTATTAATCAATTGATTTAGAGTAGGTGTCACCTATACTGCAAGAGATCCACTGTTCCTTAGGAGTTTGTATTATGCTCGAAAATAATAGGAATGCATAGGTACGGCTAGTCATATGATTGGATGAATGCTGGCTGACCAAAGGTGCTGGTAATAATTAAAAGACTTGAGTCCGCAGAATACATTGTGACAAGTAATTCGAAATGAAACGATGATTTGCACCCAGAAAATTAACAAATGAGATTGCGCAAGATATCATCGTAACAGTAGAACGAGCAAGAAACAGCATCAATTGGTGGTTTCTTACCTGCTCGAAACAGGTCGCTGTTAAATAGGAGAATGGCAGAATCAAGAAACTATCATGTATGGAGGAAAGGGATGGGTCGAAAATTTTTTTTTGCCTAAGACTATTGTTGAAGGGAGAAAGAGTGTCGAAAATGACTTTTTTGTTAGTTCTTTATATATCGATTATGATCGGTAGCTTTAATACTACGCATCTCTGATGACTAAAACCAAAAAATTATTGCCTCTGATCGGTTAATTTTAGTTTTAGCAATAGCATTTGTTTTTTATGTAAGCCACTCACCAAAGATGCTGGTGAGAGTGATGAAATAATTTCACCACTATTGGTGAAACTAATGTTGAATTGGTAAAATTTTTTGAAATTAATTTTACCAGCATTTCTAACTCTTACAAAATTATACAATCGTTTTATGATGGTCATATCACTTGACTTTCGTTTAAAACAGATAAAATCTTTTCAAAGCAATATACAACTGTTTTAATCATTAGATTTTAAAGCACTTGCCACCACTAGAAAATAAGTAGATGCTTAAATTGCAGTGTCAGGTTGCACTTTTATGATGAGGTTAAGTGCTCTGAAGTAGCATCAAAAGTTTATTATGCTAATCCAACAATTATACATAATTAAATTTACTGAAAATACTTCGGCATCATTAAATTGCTGAAAACTTCATTTAAAAAGTCAATTCCAACATGCTTTTGGAAGTATAGCAATGGTGTTTACACCATGACCATAAATTTTTATATAAACAACCCGGTCTTCTATTAAGAAGGGTATTTATATGGTGATTTGCAGTATGTATAGTTACGCCAAGAGAAACCAAACTTTGTCCATATAAATTTTATATTTTCTCTTGGCGTCATATATCAGCGTTATCACATTTCTATGTCCATAAATGTTCTTGGTTTGATATTTATGATTTTCTACTTAATAATCAACCTTTTTCACTTAATGCGTTATTATAATATAATTTTAAGTTATCTTATTTAATCACAACCCTTTTTTACTTAATGCGTTATTATAATATAATTTTAAGTTATCTTGTTTAATCACAAACCTTTTTTACTTAATGCGTTATTATAATATAATTTTAAGCTATCTTATTTAATCACAAATCTTTTTTACTTAATGCGTTATTATAATATAATTTTAAGTTATCTTATTTAATCACAAACCTTTTTTATTTAATGCGTTATTATAATATAATTTTAAGTTATCTTATTTAATCACAAACCTTTTTTACTTAATGATATAATTTTAAACTATCTTATTTAATCACAAACCTTTTTACTTAATGCTTTATTACAATATAATTTTAAGTTATCTTTTTTTTATAAAGTGAGTTCTTGTTTTAGTTTTTATTAATAAAAGTTATGTAGATACATTACATATACTCTAAAGCTAAAATTAATACTTGGCTAGTTTATTCATAACTCAAGCTTTACCAAGAAGGGTCAGAGGCCTTGCCTAGATTACGGGTTGAGATAGTGTTTAGGTGAGATGTTATTTTGTATAAATGTTTTTAATCATTTTTCTATTTTTTTGATAGTTTTATGGATATCTATTTTGAGGTTATTCATAGTTATAAATACATTATTTGCAGTGTTTGAGTGTTTTGTGTTGTTTTTGTCTTTGTGTTGGTTGCCACATTCTGGTATTTTGGTATTCAAATCTTCTTGTAGAGTATTTTATTAATTTTTGTAGTATTATACAAGTAAAGATATGGTTTCTTTGATTGTTTTGAGGTTTAGTTGATTATTTTTTGACTTGTATTCCTGTAGTAATTTCTATAAAATATCTGAAAATAGTTGTTGATACCTGAATTGGGTATTTGTAGTAAGTTGAATATTTTTTGGATTAATAAAACAGATAATCTAATAGTTATTTGTTTCTGTAGTTTTGTTGTATTTTGAACAGGTTGGGTTTGGGTATTTATATAAATTACAGATAGAGAAATTAAGATATATTAGGAGTTTGTTTAAAAATAATTGATTTTAAATACCTTTATTTGTAATTAGTTAGAATAAATATATTATTATGAGTTTGTTATAATAATTTAAATAGATATATAATTTTTTATAATATTTAAATTTGTTTAGATTTTATTTTTGTACAGTCAAACCTTTTTAAATGCAACCTCCATAAATACAATCCCTCTCTAAATGCACATTTTTGTCTTGGTTATATGAAATCATTAGTGTTAAATGCACATTCTATATTCTGTAAATGCAAGTTCACTCAAAGATTTTTTATATTATATTAACCTTTCTAAATGCATATAGCCAATCAGAATTTAGTATTAAATTATGTTATACAAACATGCAGATCAAATATTAAAAACTGCAATTTGATTAGCTTTTCCTAAATGCAAACCTCTCTAAATGTATGGTTTCAACTGATTTGTATACATTGCATTTAGAGAGGTTAGACTGTATTTTAGTTTGTAAATACTCTTTTTTTTTGTTTATTGATAGCCTTGCTAGTACTTTTGTTAGATTAAAATATATATATTGTATATATATTTAAACTATTTAAATTATATATCCAACATTATTTAACTGCTTCTGTGAATACCCAAATATAGTTTATCTCATTAGTTAAAGCATTGATTGTATCAGAAGGCTGCATTAAGTTAGCTAATGAAGTTATAATAAAATAGTCTCAATTTAAGAGTAGGGTGTCTGTAAATCATTTTTCATATGATCTACGTGGTATATTAAAATTTTATA